TTTTCTTTTATTATTCATTTCTTGAGTGCGCGGATTTTACGTCTTCTCGGACCGCACCTCTTACGCATATTATGCAAATTAAGATGCGTTTTATGAATCATCGAACAGATTGTAGCGGTGTACATCGTATGAATTGATCATTTCAAGGGGATTCATCACCAATGTCACAACGGAATATCATGAATCAATGAGATGAATTGGCTCCCGAGATAGATAATTTGCCTATTTTCAAATGTTACCGTTTCAAAATAGATGCTGCAGCTTCCAAGCCCATTTGTCTTTTTAAGTGCCGCCCTTGACTCACCCATCCACTTTTAACACAATATAGGATCTGCGCCTACAATGTCTCCTTTCTCGTTTCTTCCTTCGACGACGCCCACTGGGGCGATGGGAAAAATGACCCTAGACGTGGACACTACTTGTAAGGTTTGGGCGGAATCGCTGTAGCTATGAACGGACCATGGTAGAGTTACAAGAAGGGCGAGGCTGGTAAGAGCAGTGCAAAGGCAGAGCATGCGATTTTCATTTGTGGACAGTGGTTCAAGTACTAATGTTAATGCGCTAAAAGACCCGGCCCTGAAGAAGGCAGTACAAACAACCATTGAAAGTGCTCTGTGAAGACACCTATTGGTTGTAAGCTTTACAAGAGTACAAGGCGAAGAGATACTGAGGAAAAGAAATAGGCCATGGAAATGCGAGAGACTACACAGACGACGTAGGCTCCACCCCTGTAAAGCGATGATTTAACGATTGATCATGATGGAGACCATAAACGGAGGAGCGGAGGCGATAAAACGTGGAAGAGCCCCGGCGCTCTTATCAAACGATTTCGAACCGCAAAAGTGGGACATCTTCTTCTTTCAAGGGACGACGCCCTGTAGTACATGGAAAGACTCCCCATTAGTTTATCACAAACTCTGTCTTGGTAACGACATTTCTAACAATATATCTGATAAACAGTGCGTGGCGACCGCTCCGAGAAATTCGCTCCTGTATTGAGAGCATTGTCCATTTGTTGCTTTCCGGAAGCTTGAAATTGTACTGCTGTGCTGTTCTGTTCCTGCATAACACGCGTAGGGCGGCTACTGTATGCTGCAAAAGTTTTCTATTACAGATGTGGAGGCGTTTGTCATTCAAGCTTATTGAAGCTGTGTGACGAAGATACCAGCAGTGGTAGATGGAATAGTTTCCGCACACCGGAATTGTTGGTCAAATCTCGTTCCCTTCTCGCCCAACTCATTCAGCCTATCCTTGCAGCTCCACCAAACTGGTAAAAAGTTCCACTGGAACTGAATTGTATAAGTGTTGGTTCTATTCCACTGCTGCGACTTCAAAACTCGCGAAAGTTACTGCTGAAACTTCGCTTATGGAGGCTGTTCGGTGGTAATCACCAATGTGACATCCTTTCTCGTCGTTGAGGCCATTTGGCTCTGCCACCTTATCACCGAATTCGATGAAAACTTGCATAATAGCCACAAAAGGGTTGTTTGATGTCTTGATGACGAATATTTCAATTATTCTTGGTGCTGGTGCTAATGGAGGCACTTTGATCATCTGTGCTGTGCTAAGGCGGAGCCTGACGGGAAGGGAATCACTCCTGCTCCTAAGGCAGATCCTCAGCATCGTGGTGTGAAACAACAAGCGGGGTCGTACTTTTGCTTGGGGGAGGGGGGTCGTATTTGTTGGAGACAAATTTATTTTGATAGTTGATTTTATCTTGTGGAAAAGTGGGGGGTCGTATTAATTTTGTTTTTATGCCCCCCCCCCTCGACAACTTTTTTCGCCGCTATATCCTTAATGGCTCGGCGTATTGCAGACAGGTGTCGAAGGCTGGGTGCGCGTCGTACCCAACCGGAAAAATTAGGGGTCCTGGCGCTGTACCCAATCAGTGAGGGGGGGGGCGGTTCGTACTCTCACCGAACATTTCGCGCTATCCGCATGCTGTACCTGCTCCTAGGTGGATCCTTAGCAGAACATGCACTGGTGAAGAGGTCTTTGCACCGTGTTGATCCCAATGGCGCAAACGACAAAAACGAATGCCATATTTGTGATTAGAATATGAAGCGGCATACTGTGCAAGTTTTTGCCGATCTAGGTGGAAAGGGTGGTGGCGCCAAATCGTGCCAGCTGCATAAGTGAATGTTATTTTCGTGATCAGAACATCGAAAGATCTCTAGGCATCAGCGAAGCCTATTTTCTGAGTTTTTAGAGCCGCATTAGGGGAATAGCGTCAAGGTATTTTCGTCCCCGTCGCCCTGCAGGTCTTCAAGTGTGTCAAACGACTGTTGAGAAGCCGCTACGATTGTAATGAAAATCGATATAGTAGCGCATCTCAGAAGGAAATATTCAATACATCACACTTAATTCCTTTCTATTCTTACTGAGGCCGTATTGCAAATGAAAACCTGCGCGTGTAAAACCAGTCCAAGCATGTCTGAAAACGATAGAGTCAGTGGTGCTCTCAGCTGTTGTTTCATAAATAACATGCGGCAGTGTTTTGAAGCATAGTGGTGCAGATTCCTGAAGACTCGTGTGAAATGGATCACTGAAGCGAATCCGGGTGATATGTGACGGGGCTTCACGCTTCGGACAGGAATCACTCCCTTCCCCTCTTTGATTTCGGAGAGTTTCGGTCGGTTTCGCTCGGGCTCGAAACATGGCCGTCTTCTCGGGACCGAATTTTGTATAGAGGATGTGGAGCGGTTCCACTCCATCGCCGTATTCTGTGATGGCTTCTCTTAGTAGTTTTTCATTGTGAATTTCGAGCACGTATATTGGTCATCAACAAGCCAGTTGCCGCATACAATCTGCTTCAAATGCCCAGTCGCTATTTCTTCTGACATTTTCTTACCGTGGTCGTCTAGGATCTGCATTAACATCCTATATCGCGCAATGCTGTACGGCGTGTCGCATTTCTTTTGTGGGGAGCGCAAGGAATTTGAACTAAGTTGTAAAGTAAACGACGAGATGTCGTTCGTCATGATCATAGAGCAGAGCGCTCGTAAAGAGACGTTGATTGTGTTCTCAAAGGCGCCGCTTAGTTTTGTTTAAAGTAGTTTTCGTCGGATTCCCTTCGAGAAGAATCGTTTTGTTTTTTTAAGTAGTTAGATCAAGTTTTGGATTGGCTCGGATACAAATTTTTTCGCAGGAATCGCTATTCGATTTCACTAAATTCTTCGCTAATCAAGATTAGATCAAAGCTGATGAGAAGGATTGAAAAGATCAGTTATGAGGAGATACTTGTTTTTAGCTCATCCTATTCACGGACTATGTTCTTTTACCAGTGTTGGTTTTTGGGGCGGTACTGCAACAGAAAAAGTAAACTGGCTAGTCACAGCGTTTAGCCGCTTTTTGGCGATAGCTGTGATCATTGCCACTAGTTCGCATTTGTGACAGTTGAAGGGGTTGAATGCAGAGCTCCGAGGAACTTTTTTTCATGCAAAGTAAAGAATAAGGGCTAGTGAAGATCTCGTGGAGTCCAATTTCAGGGCTGTAAAATTAGCAGTCAAACCATCTGTGGTGTGGAATCTGCCCGGTCGCTCTTCTCGCCATTAATAATACACTAGGCATTTCTGGTAGAACTCCGGCTATACTGCGCGTTTACTTGCAGCCGCAGCTTTTTATTTTGTCGCCTAGAAAACAAGTGAAATAGAGGTCTGGGCATTACCCCCCCCCTCCACCCTTCCACCGCCAGTCGGAATTTTGCTTTTCTTGGCGCCATTTTTGACTAGTACATTTTCTCTATAGTTTTACAGTTAATGAATATCGCATCCGCCTGGTGCAGAAGCGCCTGACACCAGCGCCCCAGGAGGGTAAAAACTGAGCTGGGGAGCTGGCGTACTTGAATGGGCGCCAGACATTTTCCGTAACATTAGTTTTCAGCGGGACGGAGCTACTCCAGAGAGCGAGTTTGAATTCATTCCGAGAGGAAAGCTCCGATCAGAATCTTCTTCGAATGGTGAGGCAGTAGCGAGCGAACAGCGCCAGAGCTAGTAACACTTTGCCCAGCTGCATGGATTCAATGCCCTTCCATCCTGCTATGTGAAGGGCTAGATCTGTGCCTCTGTTTGTATATCCACGTATACTTTTTATTTGTTTGCTGTTTGTACTTCCAAAATTTCAAAATTAAGCGTTAACTGGATCGGCTAGAGGGGGTGACTCAAGTTTATAATATGGTGATAAGAAGTGTGGTTGCCTGTCACCAGTTATCGTTGCCTCATCACTGAGCCTTCGCGATTAGGTCTTTGGAAGCTCTACCACCTTTAAGAACGGCGACGGCGGCACCCCATTCCTCCTTATCAGCTACTAATAGTTGTTTTCCCTTTCTGTCGCCCCTCATTAATGTTCTCGTCACACAGTACGCATCACGTGTAGCCTACTGTTGTTGCGACCCACGCTGTAAAGTTGATGGTTCTCTCCAAGCTCTTATCAGTTACTGTTCGAACAATTATGTTCGTGTCCCAAGCGCAGCTCTACTCGATAGGGGGCATTCTACTGGTGTGAGATAATTCAGCAGGAACTGGCAAAAAAGAATTATCGGAAGTGAAAATTCCCACTCTCTCCCACCTCCTAGTCGAACAATGTCCTTGTCCTATACTGTAATTCATATCCTGAGAGCAACTTCCTACCACTGCTACAGCGGGTGTTGCGGATTTCGCGACAAACTCACACAGACATACTTAACGAACTATGTAAGGGAGACTTATTTCACACAGAGCAAAAAATTAGGAAAATACTACTACTAGTAATACCAAAAGTGTCAAAGCGAGACCAGGATATCCTGGAAGTAATCAGCCTCATAAAGAGCGTATATTGCGCGCGGTGGTGTGTGAAGACCCAGTTTACATCGTTTTTACAAAAAAGGCCGATTTTGGTGTTGAATATTAACCGCAATAAGTTCACTCCTTTCAGATGGTCACGGTCGCTCCTCACATGTACCACCAGCCACTCAGCTTATCATATCAAACTCATCGCCATCTTCTTCCGTTACCCAACAACTCATGGCCAAAGAAGTGGTCAGTAAAGAAGTGGAAATTGAACGACTTCAGGTGAACTCTCCATGAAAATATTTCCTCTTTTGTAGATCCTAATTGTAATTGTTGGCATTTCAGGCGAAACTTAGAAAGGCGTACGCTCAAATGGAGCGTCAGCAAGCCGATTATGATGAAGAAGTACGCAAATTCAAAAAGGATTCCGAACAGGCGAAGGAAGAGCTAGTCCGGGTTGTAAATAAGTGAGTTGTACCCGGGTTGGCAAAAAATTTCCTGCTGTTCTGTGAATTAACGACAAGTAACTCTTTAGATTGAATGATCTCGAGGCTGAATCGGTAAAATATCAAGAAAGAGCGAAAACTCTTGACAGTAGTCAGTTAAATGCGATCGCGGAGACACAAGAGAAGATCAGATCCCAGGTAATATCGGCAAGGCTTTTCATTGCTGTACAAAATTCTCAGTGGAAGTATTTACGTTCTAGGAGAAGGAGCTCGCTCGGCTTCGCAGCGAGCTGGCGGAGAAAGAAAAGATGGCAAAAAATTACGAAGAAATGAAAAGAGAGTTAGATTATTTGGAACTGCAAAACGATACTCTGAGCCAGACTCTGGACTCCAAAGAAAATACTGTGAAGGAGTTGGAGCGACATATTGCGGTTGGTGGATTTACCAATTCCTTGCTCAGCGAGAGAATGTTTATTGAGAGTGAGAGTTCCTGCTCTCGTTTTTCGCTTGTATACAATTCAGCCCGAAAATGTTGTTTTAAGTCGATGCGAATGGAAGCGACCCTCTACCAGCAGTCCTGCTCGTCCGGGTCAACGCCTCTCGCCGACGAAACTGAGTCTTTGGCCGAAATCAGACCTCCCTTCACTCCGGCTCGTCCATATACGAAGGTAACTGGTTACGATGATTGGATCTGCATTATTCTTCCATGTAATGTGGGCTTTGATGGAAAATGATGAAGTATACGAATTTCATGGTCAGTGGAATACTATTGTCCTGTTTGTTCCGCTTTGTTTTATTAAGAAAGACTTTGGCGCTAGTCACCTCAAGTGTGCTGAGGTTGGGACTCGAACCCGCATCTGCCGCTTAGCGGGCGGTGCGTGAACCGTATCAGCTAACCGGCTCACCACGTTAGACATGTGAATGAAGGGAATGGCACAAATAGCCATTGTGGTGGGAGGGTAAAAGCGCACCGGTAGCGCAATCCATAACGCAATCGCTCGGTAAGCGGGAGATGCGGGTTCGAGTCCCGTCCGTGGTCCGACTTTTGCCCATAACTCAGCACTCTTGTGATAACTTTCGGATCGCGCACTGCGGCGCTAAAGAGCATTATCAGACTGGAACCTTTTGGCGCTAGCATTTTTTGGGAGGGGGGGGGGGGAGGACCACTCCACAGCGTCCAGGCGTGTCTTCTCCGGTTAAGGACTTAGACGGTAACCGACGGAGACTGTCAGAGACCGACGGAGACTGTCAGAGTCGCCTTGGCTTACTGTTACTGTTACACAGTATAAGTCTTTACGGGCCTGTGACTGTCTGTACTCTCGTTCTGAGCCTTAGCTGGGTTCGGAGAAGAGACGGCAGGCGGTCCTCTATAAATGCATATGTTTGCGCTCTATTTTCCTAAAAAGGCAAAACTGCATAAAAGAAGTGTCTTCGCTAATCCCAAAGTACAATGGTTCCAGTTAGGTTCCTTTCCATTAACCTCTTGCTTTCCAGGATTCCAGGAGGGTCCCGTAAGTTTAGATTAACACGGAACTGGTTCAGCTTACCCCAGGATTTTTCATCACCTTTATTCGGCTGACATTCCGACGTTCTGAGCTGAGGAATATTCCAAGATTCATAGGGTCGCACTTGAACATGGTCCCCATATTCTTTTTGGTTTTCTAAACCGAGTTGTTCATTTTTTTGAGAACTAAATTTTGGGAAATCAAAAACGGACCAGATCCTGCCTTACCACGCTGGGTGACTCACCAACAGCGACATACAAGCTGAGGCAATAAACGATCTTGCTGGGAGGGTAGGAGGCGGGCGACGGAGAAGGAGCCGCTGAATTCTGGGATACAACTTCATTCAGCTCTATTTTTCAGGCTCATTCGACTTTGGGCGCCAACTTAAGCCCACAACCCCGTCCAAAGAGTGGAGGTTTAACGAAAAGTCTCTCCAATTATGCCATCGACGCAAATTGTAATCGAAGAGACGATGTTTCCGCAGCTATGAGTAGAAGTCTCAGGTGATTAATTTAAATATTTCGAGACTTTCAAAAACCAATAACACCCTTGACTTTCTCATTCCGTCCTATTTAGGTCAACGCAAAAGAAACTTGTGGATAGCCGACTGCTTGTCAAGTGTCTTAAAGAAACAGTTGAACGGTTAGCCCGTGGAGAGAATCCGGATATAAGCCGCCTACTGGGAATCAAAAGTTGGTCGTTCAAATCTCGTTCTGTGTAGTCCTCTCAATATTCCCGCAAAATATTTTGTTGCTATGCTAGCGGAAAGGGAAATATTGACATCTGACAAAGAAGAGGCACCACAAACGCGTTTTCTTTGCAGCTGACTCGATGTCCGAAAGCGAAGCCGAGCAAGTGGCCTTTGACTCGACAGCGATGACAATGGGAGTCGCCGAAAAAATGGTATGAATTTGCTTCGTTTCTATTTTTTTTACCTGGTGGCTGTTATTGAAGCGAGAGGTACGCTTATTTCCGGTTTTTTTGGTTCCACACAAATTGGCGCTGGTTTCCCTCACAGGATCTACGCCTCATCTGTTTCCATTTTCCGGTGCTGCAAGAATCGCACCACGACAATTTTGCTATAGTGACGCCTTCTGCGAAAAGGTCTCATGGGATCCCATCTTATATGCACTTACCAAACGGTGCACGTAAAACTGATTGCGAGTGCGTAGGAGCAGTGAGTATACTCTCATACCCCACCTAAGCGGCTCCTGGCTGGAAAGCGGACAACCAAAACTTTTGGTGGGAATCCTGCGCGAAAGCCAGAGAGCTGCCAAGTAGAAGACTGCGGCTGCTAAGGCATCGAGAGATGCGAAAAAACATGTCGCGAGCGAGGGAATGAGCTTTTCAAGGGAAGATGGCTCTGTGGCAGACGAGCCCACGTAGCATGCGTGGAAAGTTGGGTTGTGAAAGGTTGTAATGGTTATAGAACGTCGCGCAGATGAGAGTGCACACAAAAAAATGGGAAGTTTACGCGATTAAAGGGATTGTATTCGATGTACCGGACCGGAATGCAATCAGCGTCGCTTTCGCTTCCGATTTGTGCAGTCGCGGAGAAGACTCATTTAGTTTTACGCGCGCTTTTGAGGGGTACGTTTACTGCCTGTTCTTCTGGACTCATAGTCTTGTATCTGCTGCTCATTGGTCAACTTTTCTGTACTTTGAGCAGTGAGACCAAATTACGAACTTTAAATCTTGGTGACTCTCACCCTGCTTGGGTTTATGTTACTGGGTTTTTCTGTGATGCTGGCAGTCAAATGTTCGGTGACGTTCATGTCTAAAAAGAAGAATGAGAGTTTTCATATTACTGTAGGTGGTAATGTAGTCAGTGGTCGCAGATGGCATTCCTTTCATGACACCTGAACCAAAGTGATGAAGTTGTTTTCGACGTTCTGTTTCCCATTACTCGTACATTTGAGTGGGGGAAACAGTTGCTATAAATGTAGATCTGAAATTGAAACCAGCCAGGGAACAACACTTGACATTTGGCAGGTTACATTTCTTTCAGAACAAGTTGTAGAGAAAGGGGCCTCAAAGGATACAGTACGTTCCATGGAAAGGATTCAAAGAACAGAACCGTTGGGTTTGTGCGCGTGCTGGTACATAGAATATCGGCTGTTGAAGGTGCATCGCACCAAAGCCCAGGTTTTTCCTATCGCGCTCAATGTCAAACACTGATGCTCAGCGCCTTATCCACAGCGAGAAATTTCAGAGCGAAATCAGTGTGGGACTTCACAACAAATCGCGCTTGACTCAATTTCCTTTCCTGAGAAGAGCCGGGTGGGACTGAAGCCTTCCGAGCTCCTAATGTTTATAAAACAACGACACAAAAAGCTTGCAGAGTTCTTTTTTTCTACAACTGTAAGGATCAAAACTGTTTGACAGGCGCTCACTTGCATTGCAGGAACTGAAATACCCCGGGAAGATCAGCGCCGGGGGGAGGCATTCTCACTTTTGATACTTCCCGTCGACGTGTCGCGCCACTCAGAGAGCTGTTCCATTAGATTACAAGAGCTGACAGCTTCGATGAGCTTGCTGCAGCTCGTCACAGATTTCACCAGAGTGAGACTTGCAAACAGGAAATAGCGAAGAGGCGAAATGCAAAATGCCCCCACCCCGTCGTTGAACTGCGCCAAATACCCTTTCCATTTTTATTTCCTACCTGTTTTCTGAATGAGCATGCTCGTGACAAAGTGTCCTTCATTGGTTTGATGTCAAATTCAGATGCGCCGTCAAGAGGAAAGCATGGCCAAACTAGAGCAGGACTTGGATGCCATTCGATACCTGGTTCAGGACTATTACCAAGCTAAAGTTGGTGACACGTTAAATGGGCGCGATGATGCTTGTCGCATACAGTAACCCGGAGCTGTCCGAAGCTCAACTTGTGCTCTTCACGGATTTCATGTTGGGTGCTGCCATAGATCATGTACAGTTCTTTTTTTGCCATTTTTGTGCACTTCATCGACGAGTACGTGTGAGTGTTGCGTTCCTTTATTGTCTGCCTGCCTTACCCCGAGGGTGTTTTTCAAATTATAACATAATAAAATTGGTGCTGTAAGAGTTTTTGTTGAATCGACGACTGAACCGACGTCAATCGACCACTGAATCGGATCATCACAGCGGTGTAGACCAAAAGCAACTGTATATTGTGCTCAATGGACATAGTTCCTCATATTGTTATCAATTAATAGTTGGTAATCTTCGTCTACTAGGAGGAGATTTCCTCTGTATTCATACTAAGAATCACTTATACTGTATGTGTGTTACTATTAATAATTAGACCCTGCACGTTGTTTTTTCTCTTCCTAGACATCTTGTTGGATTGTGGTCATCATCATGTTTTTGAATCCCCATGTCATTGTGAATGAAGATGGTTTATATTCAAAATGTTTTTATCATATTGGTGTCGTAATACGGTTACCAATATCGGAAATGAAGAGGAATTCCGTGATAGATGCGATCAATATGATGCAATGCGATCATAGTTGCTTTTTCTCAGCCGGGAATCGGCCCCCCTGGAAAACAAAAATTGTTCGTGAGAGTACGAATATCAAAACAAAAAAGATGCTGGGAAAAAGTACACGGCGTTCTATTGGGTTGTCCGGAAAGTTCTCAGCGTTTTGTGTTACTATTTTTTGTACATTCATTGCTGATTAAAAACTCATTCTCCCTTGCGTCTCAGTAGTACATCCTGAAGAGAATTTTTTGCGCTATCTGATGGTATAATTGCCGTTTCACCATTGCTTGATAAACCCCCTTTTCCCAAGACTTTTTGAAGCATGTCAAAAGAGCAACTTCGGACGATATTTTTCTTCAACTACAAATTGGGTCAATCCGCAGTCGAGACAGCTCGACAAATTAACCAGGTGTGGGGGCCCAATAGTGTTGGAGAAAGCACCGTGCGACAATGGTTCGACAAATTTCGTTCTGGAGATTTCAGCCTTGAAGATGAACCTCGTAGCGGTCGACCTAAAGCAATACCTGACGAGGATTTGAAGGCGTTTGTGGAGGCTGACCCATCCCAAACAGTTCGAGAGATTGCAGAAAAGCTAGGCGTTGGCAAATCCACTGTTGCGGATGGTCTGAAACGCATTGGGAAGGTGAAAAACTCGACAAGTGGGTGCCCCACAATTTGAGTGACCGGCAGAAATTGGCACGTCTCGAGGTTTCTTCTTCACTGCTTTTGCGCAACAGAAACGACCCGTTTTTGGACCGAATTGTCACCTGTGATGAAAATGGATCATGTATGATAACAGGAGACGTTCCGGACAGTGGTTGGATTTCGACGAACCACCGAGGTAATTTTCAAAGCCGAACCCTCACGAAAAAAGATTCTGGTCACGGCTTGGTGGTCATCGGCTGGTGTGATCCACTATAACTTTTTGTCACCAGGCCAAACCATCACAGCAGAGTCCTACTGTGAAGAAATCGACGAAATGTACCGAAAATTGCGTCAGCTGCAGCCAGCACTTGTCAACAGAAAGGGTCCGATTCTTTTGCATGACAACGCCCGCCCACCCACACGTTTCACAAATCACTATCCATAAATTGAACGAATTGGGGGTTGAAGTTCTACCTCACCCGCCATATTCTCCAGACCTTTCACCAACCATCACCTTTTCAAACATTTTCAGAACTTCCTTGCTGGAAAATACTTCATCAATCAGGACCAGGCAAAAAAGCCTTCGTGGATTTCGTGGATTCTCGACCACCCAGTTTTTTCATTGATGGGATTTATCAACTGATGTCACATTGGCAAAAGTGTGCTGATTCGAACGGTGTTTCTATTAATCCGACGAGTGTTAAGAAAGTTATGATCGTTTAAAGTGAAACACTCAAAACGCTGAGAACGTTCCGGACAACCTAATATCTTTTGCCTTGAAGCTGATTTGCTGGAAAAATGCTCCACAGCTAGGGCTCCACAGGTCTTATGGAGCAGGTGATGGACTCTTACAGTCTTTTCCACTTCGGATGCTGGGGCATATCAGGGGGTTGGCTTTGCCGCGACGCCAGCTTGTTCTCCATCATTGTTGAATTCGGCAAGAGACAACAGCTGGTGAAAAAAGGCCGGTGCTCTGAAGTCCTGTCCCCTGACTCGTCTCAGCACCCACAGCGAACAAGACTTACTGACTACACATTGGGAGAGAGAGGTGTGAGATGTTTGCGGTCGATGAGTTCCCTTCGACGCTTCATTCTCGACCATCAGTCGGTTCCACTCCAAGGCGAGACAGCACAGTACGTGGCGCATAGGCGAGCTTGTAGGTCAAGCAATGTTCTTGTGAGCTGACACTCTCACAACTGGGCAAGGTTCTGGGTTTTCTTATCAGTAAGAATGAACTCGTTAACAACCTTGAGGAGAAAAGCTACGCATGCCATAAATGGACCAACCCAGATGGAAAGAGAATATGAGATTTTGGGCTAATGATGTTCACTCTATCGTTCAGGGCCTGGGAAGGGGGGGGGGCGACGATATGGCTGACTGGAAGTGAAGGCTGCCATAAAGAACATTGCCCGAAAATTAGGTGTCAGCTCATCGTTAGAGCGTTTTGCGTACATTGAGACAACTTTATCTTAGAAAGCCCGTGGCATTTGCACGAAATGTGCTATCGTTTCAAATCAAGTATTCGGTTGGAGAAAGTCACTTGAACAAATTGCTCCAGAAAAAAAACTTCTTGATTATGTACCCCTGTTGAGTGAAAGTGTCCTCTAAGGTAATTGCAGCCGGGCGTATTATAACTTTATGGAAGCTTACAATACCCAAAAGTCCTGCAGAGGTCGAAGCTTTTTTACCTCTGCTCTCGCATGGGTTCCTGTAGGAGCACTTTGTCGTAGTCAAAGGAGCTAACACCTGCGTTGTCTTTAGAAACGACGTTGCCGCTTATGGCACAGTGTCCCATTTGTAACAGCGCGCAAGCTGGAGTTATTTTATTCTCGAAGGTAGGCAACGTGTAGGGCGGCCACCAGCACGGGATGACATTTACTCAACCACCTGCAGGCGCAGTCGAATGTAAGCATCGGCAGACTGGCGATGTCTTTGGACTGCACCTAAATGACATCTGCAATACTTCTCCGCAATCTCTTTTATCGGGCAGATTTTCTGCGAAGGGTGTCGCATGAGTAACATCAGCCTGAAAAGTGCACCAAGTGGTCGTGGCTGAGTTCTCTCTTCTTACACATCGAAGGACCTCTTCTGAGACATTGTGGCTGGTAGTGAGAGCTGCGTTCCCTTGCGTAAGCCATTCACATATCCTTCTCACGATTTCTCAAGAGTCAAATTGCCTGCTTAGCCAAAAGCAGAAGTGCATGGAAAACAGATTTCATTGTGTTATTGGCGGGACTACGGAGCGATGTCACTGGTACTAGCACAGATGTGGGCGACAGTCTCCGCTAAACATCTTTAATTTGGAAACTCTCAGTTTCTTTCTGCTCCTCGGCAACGCGAAGACGGCATGTGGCATGAGGCTGCGACAAATGTTTATGGGTCTCGATCAAGGAATGCGACCGCTGCTCAGCTTACTCACCGAATTCATCGCCGTCTAAGTACCACCTAGTACTTCGGTCCCTACAGCATTTTTTCGGAACGGAAAAAGTACGAAAATCAATGTCTCCTCGAAAATCAGATCTACCTCTTCTCTTCAATGTGCTACCGTAGTTCAGTGGAACCGAGAGGCTCTGAGAAAGGTGGGCTTTCGTCCTAGTTAACAATTTTTTCACCATGCGTTGGAGATGTCGCTTAGTGAAGGAAATTTTTTTCAGAAGTTATGGTCAGAATGCCGCAGGACTTTGTTTCTGAACTAATAAAATATCGCTTTGAAAGACAAATAGCTTGATTCGGTATTGGTTCGCTTCCCATAAAATCATCCACACCTCTTACGATGTACGCACGAAGGAGAGGGTTCTCTTCCCAACGTTCTTTGTCTACTTTGTCTATTCTATTCTCTCACGTTTGCCTTATGCAGCGTCATAAATACCAGTCGGATCACCCGGCTGCCGCCGGGTGCTCATCCTCTGTTTCACGCTTCGCCAGGCATTTGGTAATGTCAAAGCTGCACCGTCTTGAACAGCGACGACGACTGAACGTCTCTCATCAGCCCCTATCGTTATCGCTTCCAGCCACCCACGGTTGTTAGCCCCACTTACCCTAGATATCTTTGCTGAAATGAACGCCTCGCTGAGGCTGTCACCCGCGTTATGAATATGGTGACCTCCCCCTTCTGAAGCCCCTTATCGAATCTTATCAGCAGCTCGCAGTTCTTGTCACCCAAAATTAATGTTCTTGGCCCGTACTCTACATCATATCTTGGAATCGATAGCTAGCTGATGCTGTCACCCCGTTATGAATATGGTAACCTTCTATTTCTAACGCCTCTTATCGGATCTTATCAACTGATATCACTTCCTGTCACCACCATAGGTTCTGCAACACCCCGTTAATATAGCTTTGGAACCAAAAATCTCACTGCTTACTGCGAAGGCGCTGTGAATTTTGACACCAGACCACGGACACACACACACAACCACCAATACTTAAGGCGGATAATATATAGTATGAGATAAAATACATTAATGATTAGGATCACGCTTTCGTTGTCCCTTCTTGAGCTCATAATCTGATTTCTTGAGAGAGGGTGTCGGGCGTCCCTAGATTAATTATTTCTGCTGGAGGGCGAAGATTTCTGCCGGGGCGCATAAAGACCAAACAGACATACATACATACCAGGGGGGGGCCAAAAAAAAGTCATTCCGGCCGAGTCACATATGAGCGAAGTTTTCGCAGCCCAGACAGAGGAAGTGGATATGAGTACCAGGGCGGAAGATACCCAAGATCTTCCTCTATAAGCAGGAGCCGGCTGCCGCCA